AAAAAAAACTAGGCGTCTCTGTTCTTCGTTGAGCTAGGTATGCCCCAGGAGCTTTTGTGCCTTGTCTGGCATGCTGGGTGATGCTGACGAACTTGTCCGTCCATCATCACGTGTATACACTTGGAGAGCACCCATGACGAAAGCTTTTGAGAGCAGGACAATGACTGTGTATCCATCCATATATTGCCATTACACAGACCACCTATTGTCAGACATGGCTCAACTACAGTCTACTCGGGCTATAATAACGAACGTTGTGGCTCTGAGCTCGAAAGTCTTTTTGCAACACTCGTACAGGGTAGTAGCCGTTGCTGGAAGTCGACACCGCCCACTGGCGCGCATCAGCCACTGGAGCGAATGCAGGTCACGTTTACTGAAAGCCAGGTAACAGGTAGAGTGGTTTCAGTCAGACTGGGGACGCGCAGTCTTTTTATCTAGTAGCGGCTGAATCCAAACTTTGGGCTTGTTGGAGTCTTCTTCTTTGACTCGGAAGGGTGTCGAAGTGTTTGAGACGACGCCCCTAGCTCGACGCCACCAGACTTGAAACGCTCCATGGAGTCTTAGTAGGCCGAGTATCGGAACCGAGTTGTGCAGACGGCAAAAAACAAAGGAACGGAAAACAAATGTCGGATGAAGTGCACCTGCTGTTTACAGTGCAGTTGCTCCCGAGGTAGTTAGGAGCATCTGGAAGGGTATACTTGCATGGCGATATCTGCCGGATTGTGTCGATCAAGTAGCAAAAGTGGTAGGTACATAGCCGAATAGAATAGTAGAGATGACAACCCTTGTAGTTTTTCTCCAAGGCGTCGTCATATGGATCTGACATGCAGGGATTCGTTCGTGTCCGTCTCAACCACGTCGGAAGACTAGTTAGAACCAGCTGAGCGGGACGCTGACTGAAATAAAAGATTCGCCACTTATCAGGCATCAGAAAAGAAGAAGAAGGAAAAAAGAAGCGCCGCCTGCTGGTGGTAACAGGGATATTGAGCGAGGTGGCAGCATATTACCTTGAGATTACCAGTAGTACAGAAACGGTGATCAGCAACACAATGAGAGCGGCGCAGCAGTCTATTTTCAGTTTAATGCGACAGCATCAACTATTCGGTAATACTCTTGACAAGCATGCATGTATGTCCTCACGTTCACCTTGAGCACACCCCAGTAGTTACGCCGCATCTGTGTGAGGCGAATGCGAACCCTTGCTCAGCCCCGCTCCCACACCTGAGACGCCAACGTCTCAGGTGACGGGGGGCGGCCTTGGTGGGGGACTGATGGCGATGATCTTTCTTCTTTCTTCTTTCTTACAACTAGTTAAATAACTATTTTTTTTTTGCCGCGCTCATCCTCACGCCAGGTAGTAAAAGAGATTACGTAGGGCTGGCGAAACAACATGAAAGAGAAATACGAACTGGAACAAAGGAGAACTCGTGCGTACGGAAACGATGGACGTCCCGGCGCAGCAAACAGAAATGGACAAATCTGCATGCGGGCGGCTAATGTGATGGCACTGCATCGAGCCGCCGTGGCTGCCGTGTACATATCAAGAGGGCTCGTGTAATTTGTATCCGTACGATTGTCTCTGCGCAGATGACAGATGACGTAGCTACACACGCGTGCACGATGCCCTTGAAGATTCATTCTCCTCCAATTGCAACCTCGGAATGGAATTCCGTCGGGCAAAAAGAAAAAAAAACCCCTAGTCATTGTTGCGCTACAGCGAGTGTTTTGAGTTGTTGGTTATCAAGAGGGCCGTGCAGTTGTCGGTCTGCGAAGTTGGCTTTTTTTGTCAGAAGGGGGAGAGTGGTTTGCCATCACAGGGCAATCCGCCGCGTCTGTGGATTCGCCATCGTCAGGAACTTGGAAGGCAAGGATATGCGAGGGGAAAGGGCAAAAACGATGTCGATGCCGATCGCACTTGTAGCCCTGCGCGCCCCAGTTGCAGCGTCTTTTTCCTTTCTTTTTGGGGGCTCCGCGGCTGAGGTTCACTAGGAGCTGTTGAAACGGCGCTATATTGCAGGGTTCACCTCTAGTAATGCACAAGCGTGAGAAGACCATGTTCAACTTTTGACATCTCTTTACGAGTTACGTGATGAATACTTGGCAGGAGGTTTTTTGCTACGGATGGGTCTCTTGTACAGCCACAGTCTTGGTTTGGGTAGGAGGCGTCTTGAAAATGACAGTCCGGCGCATTGTGCTTATATATGCAAAATAAACCGCATTGCATTGATGCTCGAAAGAGGTTATGCCAACACCTTCTTCATGGCCCAAAGGGGAAATGGAAGTGGCTGGAGCCATTTGCTCGGGACAAGGTGCGCCTAGCCGTGAGCGCGGGGATATTGACGGGAGAGGGGACGGGAGCAAGACACAATGTTTGCGTACAAAGCTAGTTAATAAAGATGTGAAGCGAGCCAGACGGGAGTGGCGGGTAGAGTTTGGCTCGGCGGTTTCAAAGGCGGCGATGCCCAACCGTGGGCGACGCCAACGCATTGCCGGGTCGGCACTACTGCACTGGTTGAAACGGTGAGGGAAAATGCAAGCATGCGAGCAAGTCAAGACGAAAGAAGAGGAACGAGTCCTCGACAGTCCTCGGCAGTATACTTTTTGTTTCTTTTTTGGGGGGGGGGTTGGAGAAACCACTGTTTGAATAGCAGGGGACACGTTATAGAGGCGGGTGTCGTGATGCCGCCCGAAATATCTTTTGGAGTCGATGGATGGTGAGTAACGGGAGCAGCAGCACACACACCTCCGTACTGATAATGATCTGCAACTACAAAGGAACTATTCGCAGCACTGATGGCATAGCCACAGGTTAGCCACCCCTGACCGAGTATCGTTGCAACTTTGTAATTGACGTTGTTGGGCAGCAAACAGCAAACAGGCAACCAAGCTGCCGGGACGGTGGCGACGGTGAGAACCAAAGTAGAAAAAGACAGGGGGAGCTCACCTTGGTGACTTTTCATTTTTCGTGTGCTTTCCTTTTTACTCCTGCAGCAGACTATCGTGTGTACGACTCGTGGCTCTGCATAACTACTGAGAACTAACGGCTGCCAAAACCAAACTATGTCGATGGGCGAGGTGTCTGTCTATCCGTCCGCAGAGGTACGGCCCGAGGGTAAATGTGTGTTCGGCAGGCTTCCCGATGCCGTCCTCGTAGTAGGTGAGAAGTTGTGTAGCACGGTTCTTCATTGCTATACGGATTGGCATGTTCATGGGCTTGCCGAGGCACACACACACACACACACACACACACACACACACACACACACACACAACAAACAACACACTACTCGTAGGTAGGTAGTAGTTAC